TAATAGGCTAATAAGGTAATAACAGGGTAATAGGGTAGTTCAATAGGGTAATAGCTCTAAAGGTAATGGTATGTTAGCTTTAATTCGTTTCTCAGATACGTTTTATCTTGTCGTTCCGAAACAATTTTTTTTATATATTCGAATCCCTAAAATCTCATGTTTTGTCCTTTTGCAACCGTGAAAACTCAAAGGGTTTCTGTTTCTTCAATTCTCGCTACATCTACAAGGGAACGTCAACAACAGAAAAAGTTGCCTCGCACTTTCGTAAAAACAAGCATCTTAAGCATTAAAAAAAAAAACCTCCCTCCGAGGCCAGGGTACACCTTACACTTTCATAAAGTTATATTAATAATAGCTCTAATTCCTTAGTCTGCCGATTTGGAAAATATGTATATTTATATAGATGAGAACGATGAATTTGAGATACAGAATCATGCACTCTTTAATATTTAGAGATCGAAAATATTTAGGTTATAAATATTAAGACCTATATGCTGTACATAACTGATGCATCATCAAAGCGCTATCCTTTCCTCAGACGCTAATCCCTAAGAGCTTTGTAAAAACGTTTGAAAATGACGCACTGTCCAGGACAATTCAACTTTGAAACAAGATGCTTCTAAAAGTGCGTACAATAAGCAAAGAGAAAAATTGGGCTGCCGCATAGGAACACTGAAGCTGCGAAGATAGAAAACGTTTCCTTTTGCCTATGCTATTTTAAGTCGTAAAAAGAGGTCATATAAAGGGAAACTATACAAACACACCGACCTCATCAATAAAGCAACTCTCCAGTGCAGAGTTAAATTTGTTACTGAAACCATGTTTGACTCGAACTCTGACTTCGAGCAATTGTCCTCAGGTCAGTGCCTTGGGGAAGTGTTTTACTTCAGTTTATTGTCGTTGTTTTTGTTCGGTCTACAACCAGTCGTATCTATTACAAGATATTCCTTTGAGGTGACTAGTCGTCTCGGTTCTTAAAGCCTCGCAGCTTCTGTGCCGTTCATCAGTCTTTCAATATCTTCCACCTCCTTTGGGCATTCAGCAGTGAGGACATCAGGTCCATTCTCAGTGATGAGTACATCATCCTCTATTCTTATGCCTATTCCTCGATATCTGTTAAGAGGAATCAAAATGTCAACTTTCACATTCAGAGAGCTTTGCATTCAGGATTTAAGTGATTACATTTTTCCGAGTAGAAGGAAACCCACGCCTAAAAGCTATCCCATCTTTGCTCTTGAGCTCAGGAAACCAAAAACCTTCGTCAACATACAAGTAATCAACTCAGTTATTTACCAATTTGAGAATGATAAAAGTTCAATTGAAAGCCGCTGGGTGAGTCAGTAAAGCTGAGTAGGCCCAAGCTAACACTCAAATCGTCCTGAACTTTGCAAACTCGCCATGAAAGACAGTACTTGTTCGCCGAAGCAGCATAACATATTCTTTAAAAACTAATACGTCTAACAATCTTGCCCAAGTGATCTGGAGCAAACACATCGCTTACGTTGCAACTTTCTAGATGACCGTGGTCTTCAAACATTCGTAAGATCTCTAAAACACAAATGCATTGGTACTACAGTAGAACTTAGTAGAGACAAAATTGCAAACCTTTCCGGTACGTTTTTGTTGTTCTCAGAGATGTAGATCCCAGGCTCAACCGTGATCACCATTCCAGGATGTAGCCCCAGGCCTTTGCTCACCAAGTGCGTGTCATGCGTGTCCATGCCTAGATAGTGACCTACACTATGAGGGCAGAATTCACCAGCAGCCTGAAACACACAAGCAGAGTGATCAATATCTACATTCTCCTATAAATGAACAATACGCTCTCAAGCAGATGCGCAATGAAGAAGGGGAAAGCAATAATTACAATCACCAGGAGCCCATCCTGCAATCACCAGCTAGACACTCAGTTGGAGATTTTCATATGTATGAAAGATCTCTCCGAGGAGCCCGTTGTTAACTGCTAGCAGTCCAGCTTCTTCCACATCATCAATTCTCGAACGAGAGAATTGCGGTTTATGCATCTGTGTTGTTCTGTAGAAAGCAAGACAATGTACCCACAGGTGGAAAACGTTGTACGTGAATACCTTTTTCAGTTGACTCTCGGTCAAGTTCTTTGGAAGAAAATCGATCCCTGTAAAGTAGAAGAACAAAGATACTTCTGAAATGACGGTTTTTATCATTAGCATATGAGCTTTTCTGGTTTTGCATTAGCGGCACTGTATACTTCGATCACTGACACTGAGTCTAACGAGCAAAGTCAGAGGTTGTCTTCTCAACCAATCAGTAAGAAACCAAACTATCTGCTTGAAACGACGTTTATCCGCTTGTATACACTCCCGCAGTTTGTAGCGGTTTTAAGTTTTGCCACGCTTAGTACTGTTCACATGTTCTCCATCTCTTACCTAAGGTTACTTTTTTTCCCGCTCTTAGCAACTGATGCATGCATGCTTTCCTGCTCTTCGCAACGGTTTGAAGTTTTCCCGCGCTTAGCACTGGTTACATGTTTTCCCACGCTAAGCACTGGTTACATGTTTTCCCGCGCTAAGCACTGGTTACATGTTTTCCCGCTTTTGGCACCTGATACATGCTTTCCCGCGCTCAGCACCAGTTACATGTTTCGAATTCTGATTGGCCTTGTGATTGGTTGCGTGATCACCTTCTTTGGTTTCACTCTTATACCAATCATTACAAAGGACACTATCTAAACTCAAGCTTGACCAAAGACAAAGACAAAAGAACCTAATGCTTAAAACATTTCTCTCACTCACTAATAAGTTCCTCTCCCAAAAGTAGCAACATGGCGTGATGAAGATAATCCAGCGAAACGTCCTTTTGACAAAGCTAGGAACAAGAAAGTTGAACATGCTACGTTGATCAAGCTTTCTACATT